ATGAGCCAATTCCTTGTTCTCTCTTTCTCTCTTCCTATATATTTTTTCTATTGATTGATTCTCTGGAGAATCCTAATACAAGGAGGAAGAGGGGGCTTGTTCCTTCCTGGTTTTTGTGGGCATTGCTTCCTGTTCCCAATGCTTCTTCACCCCAGCAGTGGCAATTCCTTCTGGTAGCAGCAGAGTCCAGCTTGCAGGTTTTGCCTACATGGGGCCCTTCCCCAAGCTCAGACACTAGCACCAGCCCAGCAGTGCTCTCCTGCTCATAGGTCTGAGCTCAGTTCCACAGGGGCTCTCTTCCAATGTCTAACCTTTTAACGATTCTAACCGTTTCTCCTTGTTTCTGCTTCGTATCTTGCCCTGTGGAGGCGGGATCAATATGATACCACCACCCCAAACTGGTTCAGATGTTGAAACTATAATGACCACACACACATCAAGAGGTTATGAAAAAGTTTATTATTCATATAATGAGATTCTGTGGAGAGAGCAGGACAGGTACAAAAGCCAGGTGGTTTGCCTTGATAAAGGAGGGGTAAGTGGCTCTGGTTTTTATTGTGGTTAGGGGTGAGGATTCCAGTGCAACAAAAAAAGGCCAGGATTTGCATAAACTTCCCCTTCAGAGCTGAGAGGGTGTGCTTGGGATTTCTTATCAGCTTGCCCAGATGTGAGGTAAATGGGGACAGGGCTTGAAAGCTGTCAGTGGTCAAACATCCAAAATAAAGCCAGATTCTATCACAGCTCCTCCAGTCCTGGGTGGTAGCTCCTTCTCACAGTTACTTCCTCCATGATACCCTAGCCTTCTCTTTTTGCCTTTACAGTTACTTAGACAGATCTAGTGAACAATTCTTTACACGTTTTTTGTTAAATTAACTAATATGGTTTCTGGCTCCTGACCAGAACCTGCTGACACAAAACCTCTTTGCTCTTCTTAGCTGGGTTATTAGCATTAACATAAAAGGTGGGGTAGTTGGTATGTAAACCTATTTACTCACCAACCTAAAAAAGTGGAATGGATGACTAGGCATCTTCCATTCACAGGCTCCCACTTCTTCATTAAACTTATAAGGCTACAGCTTCTGGCATCACTTGTTATTTTTAGGCAAGGAGGAATGAAAGGAAATGGAGCTTATAATTTCCTATAAACTGCAGGCCTTGGGGATCATGTGTCAATACATGGAGAACATTCCCATTCTTTTTAACTGCTGCCCAATTCTCTATCATGGATGTATCAGACCTGTTTAACCACTCCTTTACTAACAGCCATCTGTGTTGCTCCCGATTTTTGCAGGTGAGGAACCTGAAGCCTTGAGAGATGGAGTGGCTCGCTCTAAGAAACATCACATAAATGGCAGAGCCAGGATTTCTATAAAATCATAAAATGGCAGAGCCCATGCTCAAAAATATTTTTATTTTGAGATATTTTAAACAAACAGTTAAAAAAGAACCCACCACTTATCCCATTAAATCAACATGCTGACCCATCTACATCAACTTCTTAAAAGAAAGAAAACACAACTGAAGCCTCCATGTACCCTCCGTGATTCCATCAGCAACTCCTGCTCTGGGAAAGCAGAGCATGGCTTTCACACCTCATTCTAACACATGATTTTACACTCTTCACTTCATATAATTTGAATCCACAGGAAATATATTATTGTATAAAAGAGTAACACTGTTTGCTATATGCCAACAAGGCTTACATGCCAGCCACCATTCTAAGCACTTTACATGCATTAATTCATTAACTGTCCCCCTCCCCCATCACCCTGTGAGGTTGGCACTACTATCTCATTTTACAGAAAAAGTGAAACACAAGTAAGTTTAAATAATGTGCCCACAGATACACAGTATGTTTAAGTTTACATAAATGGTATTCGTAGCTTCCGCAACTTTCTCAATCATTTTTGATTCATCTGTGTTGACAGATGTAACTCTAGCTCTTTCATGTTCACTTCCCAAAGTACCAAACAACCCATGTATTTACCCGTTCTTCTTGTTGATGGAAATTTAGGCTTCTCCCAGTCTTACTATCCACACAGTGCTGCAATGAACAGTCATGTGCACATTTCCTTCTTCACATGGAGTTATTCTAGGGTTTATCCAAGAGTAGAATTCTAGTGGTAGAGTACACACAATTTTACAAGATGTTGCAAATTGCTTGGCATGGTAGTTGTCACAATTTCCACACCCATGGCAGTGAGTTCCCATGTGCCATACACTTACCCACACAATGGCTTTTAAAAATTTGCCAACTTTATGAGTGTAAGATGGTCCATATCAATTTACATTTCCTGTGCTTTCTTCTCTGCACATACCTCTGTCTGGGCTGACAGTCTCTGTCAGCAAGGGTGAGACCGACCACACTGAACACCTGCCTGAAAGACCTCCTGATACCCACTCCTCTCCATGGAGTCCCAGCCCATCTGGCTCCCACCGGCCCTAACTTCAGTTCTTCCTAGGAAGCGGAGAGAAGGCGGGGCAGGGCTGGAATAAGGGGTATGTTCTCCAGGCCAGGAAGGGGTGTGAGGTGAGCACTGATAGCTGGGGCAGTCAGAAACTGTCTGAGCGCCCTATGACTCGGAACCACCCACGGCTGGGCTCCCAAGTAGCAGGCGCGCTTGTGGGTGGTCTCTAGTCAACATTTCACTCACAGACCCCTTCAAAAACTTGCAATCCTGACTTAGCTGAAATAATAAATCCAGTTCTATATTCCTTAAAAGAGTCAACTTTGTGCAAAATCTACTCTGCCCAGCCAACGGATAAATAAGCACCCAAACCTGGCTTCCAAAGTACTTGGTCCGGCTGCAGTAGTGGGAATAACTTTTGGAAACCCAGACAACACCTAACAGAGCAACATACAGGCATTAGGAGAGGTGGAAACCCAGACAACACCTAACAGAGCAACATACAGGCATTAGGAGAGGTGGGACCTGGGGAGAGGGCTTAGAGGCACACAGGTCAGGGAAGGCTGGGACTTAAAAGAGTAAGGACCTGGGCCAGCTTGGACAGGAGTGTGGCACTCTGCGTGAAGGTGAAGGGAGACGGCACAAGGCAGGTCCGCCCAGGGGCATTCAGGCAAGGGCAATGAAGTTAAACCCAACACTGATTACACCAAAATGTTTAGTAGTTAGCTCCAAGTAGTCAGACTTTTCCTTTCAGCTGATCTGTATTTACTAATATTTCTATAATAATCACATACTACTTATATAATTAAAATTATTTTAAAACTCAGGTTACTGAACAGACTGCATCAGCACTATCCCCAAATATTCAAGGCTTACCCCAGTATAGAGGGATTTCTGTTGATTTTTACTCCATTTACATTTTTTAAAATTTGATTTGAATGTTTAAAAATAAATATATATCAATTTAAAAAAATGGCAGTAGAAACACCCCTATTGGGGCAGGAACTCTATGAGGTACCAGGTGGCACACAAGGAGTGGGAGGATGAAAAATTTGGACAGTAAAGGGGTATTTCTGTGCTTGTAGCATCAACTGACATGGGAGCTGCAGCTCTGTGAAGGCTCTGGTCTAGAGATCAGACCCCTAACCCAGAATCTTAGTAAACCAAGCCTTCTTTTCACCAATCCCAATAGCCAGGTAGCTGAGCCAGCTACTCTAATTTCACACACAAGGAAATAGATGCTGATGCTCAGTGACTTACTCAAGATCATCCTGCCAAGAAAAGACAAACCAAGCCTGGAATGCAGATCTGATGACTCCAAGGCCCTTGCCATGACCCTGGGCCCTCAACACATGGGACTCTGAATCTGAATTACATTCTATAAGGGTTCAGATTCAGACCACAATAATCCTCAACTCAAAAGTGTCCAAAAGCCCCCTACCTCCCTTTGAGGTAGCCAAGCCCCAGTGAGGACCCACGATGGTCATGCGCCTTGGCCCTCCACCTTTCTGGGTTCCTCACTTCCAGCTGGCTCACTCCACTCTGGCTCAGGGGCCTACTTGCCATTCCCTAGGAGACCAGACAAGACCCTACCTCCTGTGAAGGGTCCCATGTAGCATCTAGGGACCTACAGGGCTTCCTCCATGATCTCCTTTGGGTCTTTATTCAAATCTCACCTTCTCAGTTGAGGCCCTCTCTGACCAGCCCATTTAAAATCTCAACCTACCTCCCAATCCAGCATTCCCTCTCACTCTACTCTGATTCATTTTGTCCACAACACATATCATCATCCAAAATACTATATATATCTCATTTGTTTATTGTCTGTAAAGATCCAAGATGGCAGACTTTTTTGTTCCACTCACTGCTGGGTCTCTGACACACAGGACAGTGCCTGGCACATGAGAGATGCTCAGCACATTTCTGTTTAGCAGATGAACCGCTGCTGCCCATACAGGCCTGTGGGACGGAGATGGCGATGGGGCACTGGTCGAGCTTCATTCTCCAGGTGATCAAGCCCAGTACCCTGTTCTCCACTCGCAGCTGAGACAACTCTACGCCCATGGCAAATATCCAAAGTCAGCTGTGAAGACTGAAGCCGCAGCCAGAACTCCCCTGGAGGCATCAGAAGAGACTAGTTCTTACTGCTGCTGGTGCTTTTAAGGTCAAACAGACTAGGCACCATCACAAGCCAAACTCAAAAGGGAAACTTAGGATCCAACTGGCCCCTTCCCAGCAGCCACAGCCCACCATGCCATGGACATTTTGTTGAACCAAGAAGGGCAATGGTCTCTCCCTTTAGAGTTATAGAAGGAGATCTGGCTGGGGGAGCTCCAAGCCATTGTGCAAAGACCACTCCTAGGGGTCCAAGCCTCCTTCTGGAACACGTTGCTGCTCTTCCCCAGCATCTCATTTTCCAGCAGTAGGATGGGGGTGCCTGCCCTGCATTTTTGAATCCTCAGGATTCTCTGCCACTAGCTTCCAAAATAGAAAGGGCTGGGCCCTCTATGAAGGTCTGCCCCACACTGCCTACAATCAGGGGTTCTCTAGCAGGGTAGCCAGGACCCCCTCCCCACACTGTCAGACCCCAAGCTAATCTCTAGTATGGTTTTTCATATGCCGAGCCAAATTTGAAGACCACCTGAAGGTCTTCCCACACTCTCTGCATTTGAAGGGCCTCTCTCGAGTATGAAATCTCTTGTGGCTAATGAGTTGTGAGCTCTTGCTAAAAGTTTTCCCACACGTGGTACATTTGTGGCACTTTCCCCCAGTGGGTATATCCTGGAGCCCAGTGAGTCCAGAGTTCTGATCACAAGTTTTCTCACTATCTTCAAGAGGCTTCTTCTCCTCACTTGGTTTTAATTCCTGTAAACTCACCCCTGTATCCTGGTGAGAAGACAACCCAGCCACACTGCATTCAGACTGGGCCACTCTGGTGTGTTTTCTCTGATGAATACAAAGAGTATGTCTTCCAATGAAATCTTTCCCACACCACTGACATTTAAATGGTCTCTCTTTCGTGTGGTTTCTCTGATGATTAACAAGGCGATAATTCCTGTCGTAAGATTTCCCACACAGATTACATTTATAGCGTTTCTCTCCACTGTGTATTCCCTTATGATCTAAAAGACTTCTTTTACGTGTAAAGCTTTTCCCACATTCTTGGCACCAAAAAGGTTTTGCACCAGTGAGTATTTGTGACTGCAGATTTGGAGCATCTTCACTTTCGTGGTACTCATACGGTTTTCCCAAAGAGTGAACCCTCTGATGTCGGGAGAGGTTAGAACTCCATCTGAAAGACTTCCCACACTCCCTGCACTTATAAGGCTTCTCTCTGGTATGAACTCTCTGATGGATAAGGAGGAATGAGTGATTACGGAAGGCTTTGCCACACTGGCTGCATTTGTAGGGTTCCTCTGTGGTGTGAGTGCTCTGAGGAACTTGGAATGCTCTGTCCTGACTAAACGATGGCACGTCCTCAGGCTTTCTTTCGACGGCATGCTGCCCCTTATGAACGATAAAGGCCGACTTATGAGGAAACTCTTCTGCACATTCGCTGCATCGGTATGGTTTCTCGCCTGTGTGAATTCTCTGATGGTCAATGAGAGCTTTCTTTTGATTAAAGGTCTTCCCACACTGCTGACACAAAAGAGCTTTCTCCACAGTGGGGGCACTCTGGGGCTGACTGTAGTTGGAGGTCTGCCTAAAGTCTTCTCTACATTTGTCTGGATCACAGACCTCCTCTTCCTGGTGCAGTCTCATGTGACGAGTGAAGTTTGACCTCCACCTAAATGTTTTCCTACATTTGATGCATTTATAGGGTTTCTCCTGGGTGTGAATCCTTTGATGTTCAAGAATATATGACTTACAGTGGAAGAATTTCCTACACTGGCTGCAGTCAAAGAGTTTCTCCCCACTTTGGTCTCTCAAATGATGATCAAACCCTGAGCCACAAGAGAGAGCTTCTTTGTGCTGATAAGATTCAAGAAATTTCTGCTTAGCATGAATTTCCTGGTGCAGGCGGTAGGCAGACATGCGTCGGAAAGCTTTGTCACATAAACTGCATTTATAAGGTTTCAATCCAGTGTGAATTTTCTCATGTCGCACACGGTTCGAGCTCCACCTGAAGGCTTTCCCACAGGCCCTACATTTAAACGGCTTCTCTTGAGTGTGAAGTCGCTGATGACATGCAAGATGAGAGCTATGACTGAAGGTCTTCCCACAGTCACTGCACGTATACAATGTCCCCACCATGTGAAGATTCTGCCCGTGTTGGTGATGAGAACTAAGGCTGAAGTCCTTCCCGTGCGCATCCTTTGCCTTCCCTTTCAGTCCAGCATGAATTCTCTGATGTAGGCTAAACCCGCCAATCACGCGTCTGAGCCCTTTCCCATATTCCTTGTAATCACAGTGGTATGAACTCCCTCTGAAGTGTTTGCCATAGCCATGTTTAAGGGACTGCTTTTTTCTGGGTCCTCTCAAACATGTAATATGTTTTAGATGAAGACTATTACTTCTTCCCGATTCTTCACAGTCTTTTCCTGTCCCGTAGCTGGAATTGGTCTCTTCTTTCTTAACTCTCACTTGTATGGGGTTTCCACATTGCTCCTTTAACCTGCTCTTCTGTGCAAAAGATTCTCTGAGCCCTGTTCCCTCAGAAACATTTGCTGCACCATGACATCCTGATGGCATAGCTTCTTCCAAAGGTTCATGTTTTAAGATGAACTTGTCTGTTTTCACATGGAGCTCATCTCCTGACACAAATAAAACAGAAGAGAATGTACTCTTGGGAGTTCCCTGGTGGCCTAGTGGTTAGGACTCTGGGCTTTCACTGCCGTGGCCTGGGTTCAATCCCTGTTCAGGGAACTGAGATCCCACAAGCCACTAGGTGTGGCCAAAAAAAAAAAAGG